GTTGTCTTCCTATCACATTATAAGAGTATTTATGTATTTTTCCTTCTCTCTTTTAAAGAGGTAACTGACATAGGATAAGAATCATCCTTTTATTGTATACCAATCAGTGCTTTTTAGTATAGTCTCAAGGTTGTACAACCATTACTACTAATTCCAGAGCACTGTCGTCATCCCCCAGAGAAACCCATCCCCAACAGTAGTCACTCCTCACAGCCCCTGAGAGCCACCCACCTACCTTCTGACGCTATGGACTTGCCTATTCTGGACATTTCATATAAATGGAATCTTACAATAGCTGGTCTCTTCGATCTGGCTTTTTTCACTTAGCATATTTACAAGGTTCATTCACGCTGTACTTTATGCTTTTACGGCTAAATAATATTCCACTCTATGGATGTATCACATTTTGTTTATCCATTCACCAGGTGATGGACATTTTGGTAGTTCCCACTTTTTGGCTATTATGAATAATACTGCTGTGAATACTGGCGTACAAGTTTTGTATACACATAAGCTTCTGTTTTCTTGGGTAGATTCCTGGCAGTGTTATTTGCTGGGTCATGGTAATTCAATGTTTAACTTTTGAGGAAGTGCCAGATTATTTTCCAAAGCAGCTGTTCCGTTTCATATTCATGCCAACCATGTATGAGGGTTCCAACTGCTTCACATCTTTGCCAACACTTGCTCTTGTCCATCTCTTTGATTCTAACAATCCTACTGGGTGTGAAGTGGTATCTCATTGTGGTCTTCTATTTGTATTCTCCGAATAACGACTAATGATGTTGAGCGTATTTTCACGTGCTTATCGAACATTTGTTTATCTTCTCTGGAGAAAGATCTATTGAAATCTTAGATTATTCACCTTCTTGATAGTAACCTTTAACGCACAAAAGTTTTCAATTTTGATAAAGTCCAGTTAATCTTTTTTCTTTGATTGCTTAGTTCTTGGTGTTTTATCTAAGAAACCACTGCCTAATCCAAGGTCATTAAGAACTAATGCCTATATTTTCTTCTAAGGGTTTTAGCTTACATTCAGGTCTTTGATCCAATTAAATTTCTGTGTATGGTGTGAGGCAGGGGGTGTAAATTCACTATTTTGCATGTGCATCTTCAGTTGTCCCAGCACCATCTGTTGAAGACTATTCTTTCTCCACTGAATTGTCTTGGCACCTTTATTGAGAAATCAAATTGACCACAATGGTAAGAGTTTATTTCTAAACTCTAAAATTGTATACACCTACAATTTACATATCTATCCTTATGCCAGTACCATATTATCTT